ACCACTTAAAAAGCACGCACATACTCAAACACCTGTCTGCGGAGTTATGATGTATGCGTGGTCCTGTGTGTATCCACAGTGTATCCACAGAGACCTGGCTGCCCGTAACATCCTCCTATCAGAGAACAACATTGTGAAGATCTGTGATTTTGGGCTGGCCCGAGACATTTACAAAGACCCCGACTACGTCAGGAAAGGCAACGTAAGTCACCACTTTAGCTTCCTGGGAAAGATTACACTTTTTAATTGTTATTATTTCTTTTTATCCACCCACATAAAGATTACTTTTAATGGTGAGTCTCAGCTGTGTTTTATCTGCCTGTCATATCTGTTTTAATGTTCTCTCAGGCTCGCCTCCCTTTGAAGTGGATGGCCCCAGAGAGCATCTTTGACAAAGTGTACACCAGCCAGAGTGACGTGTGGTCCTTTGGAGTTCTCCTTTGGGAAATCTTTTCACTCGGTAAAAAGTCGGAATCATAACACATGCACACGCATCTTTTATGTCATCTGTGCAGAACTCAGTCTCTTGTGATTGACAATATCTATAAATGTCAGCCGGTGCCAAAAGCAATGAACTTTTACTAGCAGAACGAATCAGCATCCCTATTATACAAGTACTCAGTCATTTGTCTTCCTGTTCCTAATGTGGTGGTTGATGTTGGTCTTTTCTTAGGTGCATCTCCGTATCCCGGGGTACAGATTGACGAAGAGTTTTGCAAGCGATTGAAAGAGGGCGTCAGGATGAGAGCACCGGAGACTGCCTCTCCTGAAATGTAAGCATTTAGTTTCTCTCTTTCTTTCCGCATCTTCGAGAAAAAAAATGCTTCTGCTTTCAGGAAGAAAATATTGCTCTTAATGTCTTTAACTGGGTTAACCAGTTAGAAGAGTGACTTCCGTTTTAATGTCATTAAGTTGATTTGCACATCTAGGGAACAATATAGGATGGCATTTGTAGATGCATTTTAGAGGATATTATTCTTGTTAAGACTCCGCTGCCCTCTGCTGGTAGATATGGCATCATGCTGGCCTGCTGGCAGGGCGAGCCAAAAGAGAGGCCCACCTTCCCTGCCTTGGTCCAGATCCTGGGAGACCTGCTGCAGGACAACAGTCTACCTGTAAGTTCTGCTGGAGAGATAATGTCTCCAACTTTCTTCTGTAGTTTTTCTTTTTTGGGGTCTTGATCTTGTTCTTATTTCCTTCAGGATGGGAAGGACTACATCCCCCTGAACCACTCACAGAACTCTGAAGACGATGGTTTCTCTCAAGTCTCTTCGCGCCCGCCATCTGAGGAAGAACTGAGACTCGCTTGCAACACTATGCCCACAAGGTACAAGAGCGCAATCCCCTTTTATCCATCAGACCCCATAAAACGATATGAATGATACTTTGATTTTAAAGATCACACATGAGTAGGACTTCTTATCATGAATCCCTTTTTTCTGAGGTGTTTGCTTGAGCAGATTGTTATGGTTGGGTTTATCAAACTCTCACTTTTTGTCATGAACATAATGCATCATAAATACGACATATATAAGGATTCCAATAGCTATGTAAAGATTCCAACTAATGTCCAAAAATGCTGGTAAACTGAAATTTGTTTCAATAATTAAAAATAGAAATGCAATACGCAGCTCAAGTTTGTTTGCGATCATTGCCTTTTCTCTGTCTTTCGGTCAGGTATTATAATTGTGTGCCCTTTGCTGGCTGTGTGTTCATGGGGCCGTCCAAAATATGCCAGCCCAGAGTGAAGACCTTTGAAGAGTTGCCTCTTGAGATGCATCCACAGAAACCTCCTCAAGTAAGCTTCTTATCCTCTTATCAGTTGTCGGAAAATGTGAACTGACTGGTGACATTTTCTGAAAGCTTTTTCAGACTTAGACATTATCACCTATGTTTATTACTAAAAGTGGTCGTTCTTGGTCGAGACAGATGTAGCACCTGCGTCAACCTGTGTCTCTTTTCTCTAGGACAACCAGACGGACAGCGGGATGGTTCTGGCCTCCGAAGAATTTGAGAGAATTGAGCACAACCACGGGGGTGTCGTCTTGAAAAGGTTAAATGATATGAAAGCAAAAATCGGAATATCTGTGAAAACCGGAATCGAAGCACTAGACGTACGCAGCCAGCTGATTAGTCACACCATCTGACATTTGGACCGCTACACACTCATTTCTCACCGTGAAACAGCACAATGACTTTCGAGTTAAAGAAAAGCGTTAGAAATGGATGCCTTTATGCTCCACATGTTTCAGAGTCAATATGAGAAAACATTTGCGCTCTTTTGCTCGGAAACTGCAGAACAGTCACCCACTGCTTTATGTGGAACGAAACTAGATTTGCAAAGGAAGTAAGCATCAGTGCAGTCTCGATCTATGCATGGGTAAGTGGGAGTAAACAACTGTCTGAGTCATTCAAACCTGGGTATTAGCAACATTTTGAGAGTTGCAATGTTGTAAAAAGCCAACATAAACTAAAAGTGAAAAAAGCATGCTTTTATGGAGAACTTACTCCTACAGCAAAGTGTAGGAGGAGCCTATGTGAGCAGATGCTCTGATCAAAAAGGAGTCAAAACTAAATAAACTATCCCATTCTTTAGAGGATATATTATTCATTCTTACACATAATATAGTACGTATAATAAATCAGTGTGTCAGTATCTTTGGTGCCTCTGAAAGTCTTTTGCTTAATAATGTCTTCAAGCAGCTGGGCTCCATCATTTTGCACAAATATTTCGTAAGTGTGCATGCTGGGGATTTGTGTATTCGGGACCGTCTTGCAATAATAAGCTCATGGTAATAAGCAGGGGAGTTCAGCAATGATTATCTAGGTTATAGAGAATTGTATCAATCAAAATTCACAGAAAGTTGAGTTGTTTAGCCTGAGTTGTGAGTCTGTAATTTTTTTCCTTCTTTCCTCAGTCGTATAAACAGTAGCAGCAGCACGGAGCCTCTGACAGCCTCCCACAGTTCCCCGGATCAAAGCCGTGCCACAGGCAGCTCCAGGCTCCGGCCCAACTTCTTCAGCCAGCTGTCAGGTCAGACCTTCTACAACAACGAGTACGGACACCTGTCCGAGGAGGGCTTCTGTGACTTCTACTCCTCACCAAACACCACCTCCCCGGCCTCTTCGAATGTGTAATTTTACCAAAGATGCATAAAAAAGGGGTTTAACACAGACAGCTGAGGTTGAGGATGGTTTGCAGTAACATCTCAGTATTGACATGTAACTAGTCTTTTTTTTTATATTGAAGATCAGGTTTTAGATTCTCATGATTACTTTCTCCTCATCTCGAAATCCTTCCTCTCTCAGACTGTTGCCTCAACAAATGGACTGAGCTACATGCGCCTGAAGTTCCTCTAACCAGCCACTGCGTGGCAGCATTATGACAAAAACAAACCACAAGTATTTTCTAGTCACACATATATATATTTTTATCTTTTATATGCAGAGAATTCTTTCTTTATTTGTGCAAATTATGACTCATACATGAGGAAATAAAGAATTTTATCTCCTTCTGCTTGTTTTTTTCCCAATGATGAATATGAATTTAGAGTTGGATCTGTCGTAAAAGCTCAGTGGAGTAAAGTGTCAATTTGTGTTTTGGCCCACAGTGAGAAAGAGCCACAAGCTCTGTGATGATTTAGTCAGCGAAGTAAACAGATATTTGTGGCATCTGTGTCATTCAGTGGAGGTGGACACACTTAGACTCACAACATTGCTAACAAGTAATAAGTGACGGAAGTAAACAGAGGGATGGAGGGTGAATAAAAGGAGTGACTCACGGTAAGCACCTTTATCAGAGCTGGACGTAAGCACGATGATAGCTGTAACAGCTTAACGCCCTCTTACAAGCTCACATCACAAATGACAGCCTGCAGGGTGTTGTCCCAGGCTGCCAGCTGAGGGAAATGAGAACCGGCTTGGTGCAAAGTCCACTTTGTATACGCACACTCTCCTAGTTGTAAATGTCACAAAGGTGCCAATTTCAGCTTCTAAGAATAATCGTTACCATGTTGTTCAGGTAAAAAGTCGTAATCTGGCCTTCATAATTTGACTTTTTATTACAAATACATTTCTTGCAGTTTAAAGAAGCTAAAAGAAATAAAAAGACACCTAAAATTTTTAAAGCCAAAACTCGTTCACAGATCACTTTCTGAGGTTTTTTTGGAAACACGAATCATACCTTTATCGTAACCTCTGAGGACAGCGCAGGGATTACAGTAATTTAAGCGTTAAAGAGAAAAGGATGGTACTCAGAGTAGAAAAACAGGTTTTAAGGTGCTTTTAACTCAGCTTGTAATGACAACAGAATAAAAGGAAGCAGAGGCCCTGATGAACAGGTTTTTCCCTTTTAAAAACAAACCTTTATTGAAACCACACTAAAATTCATTTTTAGAGAAAAGAGAATAGAAAAAAAACAAACAAACACAGACATTCACTATATTTTTGCCATCACTGAGACGGAGTAGAAATAAAGTGGAAACTAGAGACTGTAAAGTAAACAATGATAAATGCTGCACCGATACTGAAACAAGCAGGAGAAACTGAAAAGCTTTCAGTGGCACTAAGAGCTGGTGATGATCCTGTACGGTTTAACAGTAAGCCAAAAGGCACACAGGTGGAATACTGGAGATAAAAACGACAGACCACGCTGCATGACACAAAATGCTATTTGTACACACTACGCTTTAGATTTCACCCCGTCCTATGCACGTTTTATGAACCCTGACAATACTTCCTTCACACAAGGACCAAAAATCTAAATTGGTCTCCTAATTTACAACACATCTGGCTGAGATGATCCTGTTTTGATCCCATTTACTCCCTGAATTATATAATTTCCTATACCCATGATTTAAAAATGTTCCTTTGATTTAATATATGTGGATGTCTATTATTATTCTTTCGTGTCTTTCTAAAAATATCAGCTGTAACCTTTAAAAAAAAAAAAAAAAA